TTCAATAAGTTTTATAATCTAACAGATTATAAAACTTATTGAAATCACACATATGTATCACAAAATATGTATGATTAATGGCCAAAACTCTTAATAAATTTTAAGTACTTTAGAAATCATTCAAATAATATTTAAATATATTTACTTGATACTTAAACAATATTTAAATTTATTATGTCGACATAATAAATTTAAATATTATTTAAATATCAATAAAGTATATATTTAAACATTATTTTTGTAGTACTAAAAATAACCGAAATCTTTTTGGTAATATTTCAAAAAGTTCTGAACCAGAGACATGACATGCGCTTTAGAAGAATCACTTGCATAACATGTATTTGATTATTTGATTATTTTAATTTTATACTGTAGAAGAGCCAAAACAGAAGTCGAAACATTTACTATTCAATTTTTTAAGAAAATAATTGTTACTAATAACTTATTGAATGGAAACCTTGTTAGATCGAAAAAAGACATTCATCATATTATATTGATTTATTTCAAAAAAGATTATAAATTCTTTCTATAACATTTCATCAACGTTTCAACAAGGTTTCATGTACAAGAATAGTGGACATTTTGTTATTTCAGAGCTGTCTCAGAAATGTTGCAGATATATTTCGCAATTTTTATGAAATGTTTCATTTTTCAGTTGAACTATTTCTGAGAACTTTCGGTGCTGTATGGGATACGATACCTGTAAATCAAGAATCTTGTATGATACGCATGTTACATATATCTTACGCGCAGGTTATGGAATTTTTCGTACATGTAACATGAATCTTATAAGAATATAACTGGAGTGTCATTATGAAAATATTACAAGAATACCATTGAAATTTTGTGTGATTTATAGCTCGTATCCCAGTAAATAAAATGGAATGGGACAAGCAAGGAGTTGAATGGGATTTAAAAGAATTCATTTTAGCTAAAAATTAATTTCTTTTACATAAATTAAATAACGGCTTCTCGATTAAATTAAACTTAAAAAACTTTGGGAAAGGAGCATAAAAAGTCCACGCGTCAGTTATTATAGTGAAATTACAATTTATCAATTCATAAGACAGTAATAATATATGTTTCGATCTTTTATTCAGTCATCTTTAGTATTCTAATAAATTTTTTAATTTTTGTTAATTCTTTTTTATTTCATATATTCAATCCAGTTTCTGTTTATTCAATAATTCCATTTTACTGGGAATCTGGAATGATCGATATTTTTATTACTTTGGAGCGAACATGTAAAAGAATTATTTCTTGAGAGTTTATTATTAGGCTAAATTAGCAATTAAAAATCTTTTCATTGCAATATAAATCATCGTGTATTCATTCCAGATTCCTAAAGATTACTAGAAAAAGTTTACTAGTGAGATTCATGAATAAATTGTATAATATATTCTGATATGATCATATACGTTTATGTAATGTTGATTGATCACAACTCTTTTGAGACCTGATACAAAAAACTTACAAGAATTTTCAAGAGGGTACATTCATCATAATTGAATTTTCTCTGGCAACTATACTTTCTATAAGTACACTTTCTATGAGTCAAAGTATTTAAATTTGTTTGCATTACAAATATTATTATTAAGTGTATTATATGCAGCAATTTGTGACATCAAAGATAAAATACCTAATATTGAGCTTTATCAATGGTCGGAATTGGACACATCGATTTTGGAAGGTGCGATTGACCTTAACACGAAAATCAGTAATATTGATCCTGGATCTCTGATCATACTTGATCATGGCAGTCCCCGGGATAAATTGATTTACGTCTATACATCTGGTACGACGGGAATGCCAAAAGCTGCTGTTATTAATAATTTAAGGTAAGATCTATAACTTGTTAGGTACTTTTGATAAAGAATAATAAATTAAAAAGAATTGATTATTTTGTTTTAAAAAATTCAGGAAAAAACTAAAGCCGGTATTCATAGTCGATTCTTATTTCAAGATTTTAAGTAATGTCTTAAGAATAATTAATACAATCCTCTGATTGGTTCGTAACTTCTTAAGACCATTACTTAAGACAGTCTTAAATGTAAGATCTGACTATGAATATCGGTCAAAGAATTAATCTTAAGACATTACTTAAGACTACTACGGTCTTAAAATAAGAACTAACTATGAATCCCTAAGAGTTACTATTCGCTCCAATAATAAACTACTTATAATTCTAATAATAATAAATGTTTTTAATTATTATTTGCTCTTATAGTAAATTTATAGTAAATAATTATTCGTGTTTCCAATAGTAATTATGAATAGTAATGTTACATAATAATAATTCTATGAAATAATGAATAATAATTCTACTGAAAAAAAATATCTTAATTTCAAAAAAATATTTCTTTGCTCGTATTAAAAAAAAATTTTTTTTTTCAGTGTACGAATAGTTTTAAATAGATATTTCTTAATCATTTCTTTCTCTATTATATTGATAAAAGAAACGTCTTTTAAAATGTGAAATTTTTATAGAATTTAACATATTTTAAATATATTTTATCTATTGATTAGTATTTACGTACGCATTATTAAATTATATTTACAAAAATGTTACACATATATGAATTACAATAAGAAGTTACAAGTTGGTACAAAGAGTTCGATTTTTGTTGTAATCTCTCCTTTTTATATAATATTTAGTCATATCTGAATGGTCAAAGCTCATCTAGCTGCGTGCTTACTTTAATAAACTCTAATGAACTTTGATTAAACATTACGTTAATAATCTCCAATTAGAATTATTGTCAGGCTAAGAATAAATACATTAAATACTATATACGTTGATAATTTCTGCTTAAAATTCTCACTAATTGTAAGTGTAGTTTAAATAAGAAAAATTTTGAACAAATGAAAATACATATAGTTACGTTCCTATATATATAGTTATGTTATTATTTGTACATAAACTGCTTGTGAAAATTTTACATTTATTTTGACAGTGTTATTAAAAATCAATTTATAATGTTGGTTAAAGTATTATTCTGCATTTATTTGTACATATTGTTTCAAATAGAGCTAGAGATAAAAATTATTTATATCTTACATATACTATTTCTGTTTTTAGGTACATGTTAATAACGTGTGGCGTGAATTCAATGCTTAATCTACAGTCAGATGATCGAATTTACAATCCTCTGCCTCTTTATCACACTGCAGGTGGCATAATTGGAGCAGGTCAAGCACTCATAGGAGGTGTCACCGTTGTGCTTTGTAGAAAATTTAGTGCGTCCAAGTATTGGTCGGAATGTGTTCATTACGAATGTACTGTAAGATCACTCTATTTTTTATACAGTCTTATAGTTTTTTAATTTTTAAAAAATCAACACATAGTGTTCAATGTACAAGAGATTTATATTAAAGAAATTGTGAAATACATTTTCTTTTAAATTTTTTCTTTAAGAAAAACATATAATATTTTTTAGCGCATTCAATTTTTGACAAACAAAACCTGATATTAATCTGTTGTTTTATTTTATTTGGTTTGACTCTCTCGGTTTTTGTCGTCAACGAGAAACATGTAATAAATTAATTACTACGTACAATTTTATTTTTTAGTTTTCCTTAAAAACATAGTAATTAAAAGATATGCATTATTTCGTGTTGTAGGGATGTTGTGACATGTACAGACAAATTTTATATGTATATGATCATATACATATAATAATTCATATATAGTTATATTGGTATATGTGCATATAAAAATTTTACTAAGCATTCACATTGGCTGGTGGATTCTCAGTAATTTTTCATTGCCTTATCAATGAGAATATTTTATTTTAAGTTGACCAATTAGCGATGTGCGCTATCGAAATCCTTTTTGCAATATGGTTGTGTGCAAACATAGTTGTATGATTATATAGACAATCATAAGTATACGAAGCCCTTTCTTCAAAACTATTTATCAATAATAAACTTACTTATAATTGAGTTACTATTCAATTACTCTTCATACATGTAGTCGCCAATAATTATTATTCAAGTGACTATAGAAATTGAATAATCATAAATCTGAATAATTCCCAATTGTTATCAATAATTCTTTTTCATACAAAACACAAGCTGATTTTTTTAGAGAGTCAGACCTTAAACAGAAATTTGGAATTGTCTAAGAAAATAAAAAGTATTAAAATTTTTTAAATCACATCTTGACATATCATATCTTTTATATTTCTCAATTTTGTTTCAAAGAAATATATTGAAGATCTTGTAATAAAACTAGAATATATATTTATATATTAAAAATTTTGTCAATTATTATACAAAATGTACACTGCATTCATTTAATTTGTGTTTTTTAAATTTTTGTTTTAATCAATTTTGTAATTAAATTTTTATTTGTTTTAATAATAAAAATTATATTTGTATTTTAGGTAGCGCAATATATTGGAGAAATCTGCCGTTTTCTTCTTACAGTTCCATCAAATGAGTACGATTCAATGCATAAAGTACGCTTAATGTTTGGAAATGGTCTGAAGCCACAAATTTGGAAACCTTTTGTTAAGAGATTTGGCGTGAAGCAAATAGGCGAGTTTTATGGAGCCACAGAAGGAAATTCAAATCTCGGTAACTCGTCTATCTTTCAATTAGTTTATTGTTGGAAGAATTTTACTATTAAATCTATGTTTTAAATACAATAAATTTTGAGCACAAATAATACATTTTGTAAACATAAATAATAAGTATATCTTTATAGAAATTGTTGACATAGTTAAGTTTTTTTTAACAAATAAATAATCATTCGTAATAATTGACAACAATAATAGTTAGCTTAGTATTTTATAGTTGTCAAGAGTGTATGTAATTATTTTTGAAATATTTCTATGATTGCAGTCAACATTGATAATAAAATTGGTGCTGTTGGTTTTATACCAAGATATGCTAGCAGTTTGTATCCAGTTGCACTGTTGAAAATTGATGAAGAAACAGGAGAATTGCTGAGAGGATCAAATGGATTCTGCATACCTTGTAAACCTGGTGAATATCATCAAATTTTATGTTATAAAGATTTTATTTTATATTAGAAAAGATTATAACTTCTTCCGCTTGTTTGCTTTTAGTATTAGGTAAGTACCGGATCATAAAATTACCGGAGATCGGATATCCAAAAAGAATATGACACCGGATATCCGATATCCGGTCAGATATTCGATAGAGCAATGTACGTAATTTTAAAAAATACAATAATGTGATCTTTGTTAAAATACAAAACTGTGAAGATAAAAATTTTTTGAAAAGCAGTCAAAAACTAAGTACAAGTTTCAAACCTTAAAATGCTTCTTTATTTTTTGTTTATGATGCTTCTTTTACCAAGTTACGTTCTATCTATTTAAATATTGCAATTTTAAGTTCCATGTTCGGGACTTTTTGACGCTAACATGTACATATAATGAGATTGGACAATACAATCACAACAATTATATTATACTTTTATGTTATTTGTTTAGGTGAGCCTGGCGTTTTTGTAGGTAAAATTAATTCAAAAAAGGTGATAAACGACTTCAGCGGCTATGCTGACAAAAAGGCTTCAGAACAAAAAATTGTACATGATGTCTTTAAGAAAGGCGATCGCGTCTTCAATTCTGGTAAATAATAAATAATCACGCATGCAGTATAGTCTATTTATTAGGAATAATCATATAAATTGTAATATGTTACTTAATTTTCCGAATAGGTGATATTTTAGTTATGGATGAATTTGGATACTTTTATTTTAAGGACAGAACAGGTGATACATATAGGTTTGTAGGTACTTTAAGTACGCAATTAATATTAGTACAATTAGACTTTCTTACAAATTATTAAGTTATTATAAACAGAATGAAATTCTAGAATGAAATTAGTAAATAAGTCAGCAAGTACATAAGAATTCGATTAATTATATTTTATTTTAAAATTGAAATTAGATGGCGAGGTGAAAATGTTGCTACTTCGGAAGTGGAGGCCGTCATAAGTAATGTGATAGACCTCAAAGATGCAACTGTATTTGGTGTTGAGGTAAATAACAATGAAGTCATTGTTTCATAAAATAATCAATTTTGAATAAAGACAATATAGATAATGAAGCATATATATATAAATTTATTTATATCATAAAATTGTTTCAGAGTTGAAGAAAATACGTATTATTGATGAAAAAAATTTATTATCATGTATAATTATGTGTTTAGGTACCTGGGAATGAAGGTAAAACAGGAATGGTAGCTATATTTGACCCAAAAAATTCTTTAGATTTAAAGGGATTGACAGGAAAGTTGAAGAAAGTTTTACCGAATTATGCCATACCTCGTTTTATTCGTATTCTATCAGAACTGCCTATGACTGGTAATAAATTTATTGTTGTCATCTTTAGTTGATCTTTATATTTGTAATGGTATATAATTTTTTTCTTTGTGCAGGAACGTTCAAATTAAAAAAGAAGGATCTTCAACGAGATGCTTTTGATATTAAAAAGGCGAGTATCGTTTCCATATATTTTAATTCTTAAAAAATAAAAACGTACGATTATTGTAAAAATAATTTTTGCAGATTAAAGATCCAATTTATTTTCTTAACAAAGATACCTACATAAGGATGACTGATGAACACTATAATAATATCGTCAAAGGACAAATCCGATTATAATTCTTCGTGATATATTTTCTGCAGAGAAACGTCATTTTTAATATAATTCGAAATTTAGGGGCTTTATTCTGTAACTCTTAACATCTGTAACGGTAGCGTTAAAGTGTCTTTGCACAGATTTTGTACATGATAGAAAAGTTATTCAACTGTGACATTACAGTTGTTATATTACAGTTGTTAAAAGTTAGTACAGAATAGATCCCTCTTAAGCCAGGTCTACAATGAGTAGTCGCTCTTAGAAGTTGGCTGCTCACCAAATCTATTGATTCACTGATTTCGATCAATCCCGACTATTCTTCAGATTCGCTTCCAACTCACCAACTACAGACTTATTGTAGATCTAGACTTAAAATTAATTTTAATGTTTTTTACGATATTCCAGTGTTAGTTGCAGATTAAATTATACACAATTATCAATACACAATTATTTTATTGTGAACCAATAAACTACCATCCATGTCTTCTTTCGTAAAAGCGTATATAAAGAAACATGTATTGTTTTAAGAAAGAAATAATTGTGAAATATTTTCTATGAGGATATTTATATGATTGATATTTTACAATTTATGAATTATTTCTATATCAGAATTACGTCAATATAACGTATGTATTCCAGTGTAAGTGACAAAATAATAGAAAAGACAATTATTTATTCAATTGTTAAAAGGAGACAGAGTAGTATTTTTTTACAAAGTTTTAAACGCTTTACGTAGTCATATCTTTTCAGATTATATTCTTTGTTTTATTTTATTTAAATAAAGAAAAACAAATTAAGTTTAATGTTTAATTTTGTATTTGCAGATTGTATTAACATTAAGTTCGGTATAAAAAATTTATAATAATTTTTGTAAATAAATTTTAAGGCAAGAATCTTAATGGATACAAAAGAAATAATATAATGCAAGAATTTTAACGGATATAAAAGGAAAAAAATGTATCTATAAACATAACAAGAATTATATTTTATCCATTTAGATTATATTGTTAACTATTGGACATCTTATTATAAGTCTTCGAGCTACAATTATTTGTGTTAAAATTTACATGTATTACGCTGTAACATAAGCTTTAAATTTGAAATATCGAAAATCTGTACAATCGCGACACAGTCGATATCTTATTTTCTTTCCGCAGATAAAAATTTGTATACATGATTGTAGTGTTGGCATAATTATAATATTTGTATAAGTTAATTATAATGTTAACATTTAGATACAATAATATTTCGGCGTTAAGAGTATGTGCGCGATATAGCGCGAAACTGATCCGTGTATATCCTTTATGCGAACCGATGAGTTGTGAGTAGCCGAGATTATTGGATTTACGTTATATGTTGTTATACATACATTAGTTAACTTATGGGCGTTAAATTAACTTTTGGTATTAAAAATTGTTGATGTTTAGATTTGTACCATTGCAATTATACCACTTAATCAGTATTACATTGCATCAATTAAAAGTATCTGCTCGTATTACAGCGATAATCATATTTTCTTATGCGTTTAAATTTCTTTACGGGGTACAATATTTAAAATATAGCACGATTTATATTGACAATAGGATTTTTATGCTCTTATAATTCTCTTATTTATGTAAGTAGTATTATGCACATATGTTTTCGCTTAAAATAATTAAAAATTTATTTTTACTCATTGTTATTCAATATTTTTGTACTAACAAATGACAATATTTTTCAGTTCCTGTAAAGATATATATATAT